ATAGAATATAATAATGATATGTAACAATGAGTATTAATAATGACAATAATAATAATAATTGTAATTATAATATTAATGATGCTATCATAATATTAATTAGCAATGATTCTGATAATAAGAGTGAAATTGATAATAATGACAATTATTATAATGATGATGATAATAACAACCATAATAATGATGATGATAATAGCAATACTAATAATGATAATGATAATAATGGTAATGATAATAATGTTGATAATGATGATAACAATACGGATAGAGATAACAACAGCAACAATAACAGTGATGATAATAATCATAATAACTATAATGATAATGATGATGTCAATGATTGACAATGATGATTACAGTATCAGCATAAAAACATCATTAATAAAAATGATTATAATGATGATGATGATAATAATAAAATGGACAATAACAATGATAATGATCATGATAAGGATAATGGCTGTGATGATGATGATGATAAAGATATCAATATAGGTTGTGATGATGATAAAAATGATAATAATAATGATGATGATGATTATAATGGTAATAATATGATAATATGATAATGATATCAGTAATGATAATAATGGTAAAAATAAGAATGATGATGCTGGTAAAAGTGATAATGATAATAATGATAATAATACTGATATTAATAATAACAGTGAAAATAACAATAATAATACTGACAATAAATTCAACAAAAACAACGATCATAAGAATGATAATTAGTATAACATATTGTTATAACAATAATAATGATAACAACAATTATGATGATAATTAAAAAAAAATCGATAATATTAATTAATCATTATTCCTATTCTTATTATGATTGTTGTTATTATTATTATTATTATTATTATTATTATTATTATTATTATCTCTATCGTCGTTATCATTATGGCTATTTTTATCACTACGTGTGCGATGCATACCTCCCTCTTGGGGACGGAATAGGGCATCTAAGGTTCTTTTCCTTCGTCAGGAGAATTGGGAAAAGCTTGCCATTTTTATCCCACTGTTCTTCTTGTCCCTGAACAACATCCGCTCGATGTTGGGGGTAAATTTAACCGCCGTAGCCAAGATCGTCACGGTTATCTCGGACTTATTTCCTTTGGCTTTTCTCTTCCTCTCTTTCTCTTTGCTTTATTCGTGCTGTGTAATCATACTTTTTTTCGTCCATTGGGGAGTTAAATGACTACATCTTGAGCGACTACAGTCAACATGTTCTTATCCTATGAGGTCACAGCTCGTCCTGTTGTCCTGTTGTCCTTCCTGTGCCAGAATGCAACTTTATATATTGCCTAACGGGATTCAAGATTAACAGCAGTGACGTAGACATACACAAATTATACCTAGCATACCCACGTGTCTATTATACCTTTTTTCTATGGACGTCGACCAAGATAGTGCACAGAAACCTAAAATGGAGGATACACAAACGCAGTTATACCGAACATACCCATATATACACTTTCTTTCAACGGATGTCGACCCAGACAGTGTGGGAGAGATGTAATTATTTTTTTTATGATTGTTACAACAGTAGACAGAGAGAGACGAGAGATACGGCTGCAGGTGACCTTTCACTGCTTTCTAAAAAATTCCTTCCTAGTTTATGTTCACTCTCTTCAAGCCAAAGGCACGGGGTTAGAAAGTAGGATATTTCGTGTGTTTCTTTGTATTCGTCTGGCAACAAAAATAACGCTTACCTTAGGAGAGTTTTTGCTGTTATCTTTCTTGTTATTATTACCATAACTATATTGCCATTGTTGTCATTGTTATCGTCGTTCTTATCATTTCGTCCGTGTCATCTCATCAAAATCTTCATTTTCATCATTATTCGTGTTTTTATTCTTATTATTATTATCATCAGCATCCTCACAATTATCATTATAATTACTATTCTTATCATCGTTATTATTATTATCATTATCATTATCAATACGATAATTATCATCATCATATCACTATTAATATATTTTATTATTATCATTGTTATTATTATCATTATTGTTGTTATTATTACTATTCTCATTATTATTATTATCATTACTCTCATTATCATTATTGTTACTGTTATTATCATTAATATTACCATCATTATTACTGCCTTTCTTGTTATTATTATTACTATTACTATTATTATTATCATTACTATTGTTATTGTTATTGTCATTATCATTCTTACTATAATCATAATATCATAGTAATCATAATATCACTTAAAACAAGAAATGATGATTATGATTTTATAGAAATTATAATCATAATGATAATATTAACAGTAATGAAGATGATAATAATGATGATGATAATGATAAAAATGATAATTCAAAGGAAAATGATAATGATGATAATAATTACAAAAATAATAACAATAATAATGATAATAGTAATAACATAATGATAATAATAATAATAATAATGACAATATTAATCTATCATCATTATCATTTTTTTATTATTATTATTAGTTTCATTACTATCATTACTATTATCATTATCATTATTTTCATCATTGCTATCATTACAATTTTTGTTATTATCATTGTTATGCTTAATATTGCATTTGCTATTGTTATTATCACTGTTATCATCATCACTATTCTCATTAGCAGGATCAGCATCATTACCATCACTACAATCATCACTTGTAGTAGTAATAACAATCACATTAGGAATGATACCTATAGAAGAAGAAGAAGAAATGGAATGTAATTAAGATGTCAGTCTAATAAAAATTACTCACAATTAAGTCTTCGCAAAATAAAAAGAAGAAGAAGAAGAAGAAGAAGAAGAAGAAAGAAGAAGAAGAAGAAGAAGAAAAATTGACTACCCTTATCGTCAACATCACTGTCATCATTACTGTCATCATTATGATCATCACATTTACCTTCACCTTCATCATCAGCCTAACCATCATCATCATCATCATCATTAAGAACCGTCATTAAGAATATTACCCATTCTACTGCTGATCTCTCATCTCTCGCCTCATCTTCAGTCTCACCCTCGACAGTCTACAACACCAACGTATCCCTCATGATTCTGAAAAACAGAGAAAAAAGGAAAAAAAAAAAAACTTTAAGACATTTCCTAGACCCCCGTGACACGAACGTTCTGTCATGTCATGCGGCCGACGTCACGAACAACGAACTCTTCTGAAAAGGGAGTGTGGCATGCACGTAGGAAGTGTTAGTGCAATCTTATGAGGCGTAATACGTTATATTATGTCATTGGGTTTATTCTTATCATCTTTCTCTCTCTCTCTATCTATTCGTTTTTTCCTTTTTTTAAACCTATTTATGTGTAATTGCATTTTTTCTCTTTTTATTCTATTGTATTATGTTTGTTGCTATTATTGTCATTG